ACACTGAAATAGACGCTGAGACACAGAGAGAGACACTGAGACACACATAGTGAGACACTGAGACACAGAGAGAGACGCTGAGAGACACCGAGACACACTGAAATAGACGCTGAGACACAGAGACACTGAGACACACATAGTGAGACACTGAGACACAGAGAGAGACGCTGAGAGACACTGAGACAGAGAGAGACACCGAGACAGACAGAGAGGAGAGACACTGAGTGACAGTGCGATGGGTGGGGGGGGCCAGCAGACGGAGGCGGGCGGGGGGACGGCGGACTGTGGGGGCTCGCGAGGAGGCGTGTTCACCTGGGAGGAGGTGCAGAAACACGCCCACCCAGACGACAGGTGGCTGGTGATCGAGAGGAAGGTGTACAACATCACGAAGTGGGCCCAGAGGCACCCCGGGGGAAGACGGGTCATCAGTCACTACGCTGGAGAGGACGCCACCGTAAGACACCCCCAAATCTGTTCCGGGATCCCTAAGCCCTGCACCCCGCACACACAGCACACACACACACTTCACTGGGTATCACTCTCAACCATTTTCTGGGATTACAGTCACACTGCCAGAGCAGTCTGAGACTCTCCAGGCTGGACTGGACTGACTGGACTGTGAGCTGGATTAGTTATAAACTGGGATTATAATCAGACTCCACTGACACTGACAGAGCAGTCTGAGACTCTCCAGGCTGGTCTGGACTGACTGGACTGTGAGCTGGATTAGTTATTAACTGGGATTATAATCAGACTCACACTGACACTGACAGAGCAGTCTGAGACTCTCCAGACTGGACTGACTGGAGTGTGAGCTGGATTAGTTATTAACTGAGACTCTGCCCTGACCTCTCTCTCCCTCAGGACGCCTTCAGAGCTTTTCACCCCGAGCCCAACTTAGTGCGCAAGTTCCTCAAGCCACTTCTGATTGGAGAGCTGGCCCCAGGGGAGCCCAATCAGGATCATCAGAAGAGTGTGAGTCCCGCCCAACCCCGCCCCTTAACTGCAGACTCCAATGAGAGCGGGCCTTTCACAGACGCCACACCCCTCACCATGGTTACCTGCTGAGTCCCCGCCTGCCAGCTCATCCTGTTTGTGTTCGCGATAGGCCATGTGACGTGGGCCGGGTCTCGGCGATAACACACGCCACCCCTGTGGGGGCAAGATTCGAGGAGCGGGGCAGCTCTGTCTGCCTAATTAGAGTCTAATTAGAGTCGTAATCAATGGGTTTGTGACAGTGACACCTGGACTGACACACACGGTCCTGCCTGACAGCCCCCCCACCAAGAGAGGGTGCCGTTCACCAGCCTTGCCAGTAAGGCCTGCTGGGAGGGATAAAGGACCCCTGGGAGCCCTCTGAAAACTGGCTGCAGGGCTGCACTGCCACCTAGTGGCCAGTCACCCCCCTGCAGGCCGCTGTCAGGAACTGTCGGACACTGCATCGTCGTGGAGATGAACTCTCTCCCTCTCTCCCTCTTCTCCACCTCTGCCTCCTCTCCCTCACTTCTCT